CCGCCGTCATCACCCTCAAACAGCGCCGCCGCCGACGCCTCCCAATCGTCCGCCACCTCGTCCCCCGCCGCCGCCTCTTTCTCCTGGCCTCCCTCATGCCCCTCGTCCTCCCCCCACGCCTCGTCCCGCCCCCGCTGCTCCTCTTGTTGCTGCCCGACTGCCGCCGCTGTCGCCGCCGCCGCCGCCGTCGAAGCAGCAGCAGCAGCAGCAGCAGCTGCCTTGCCGGCGCCGCCGCCGCCTCCTGCCTGGGCGACCCCGCATCCCTCCTGTTCTGCGATGGCCAAAGCTTCCGCGTCGCTCAACTTGAGCTTGCCCATCTCAGCTGCGCAATTGGAACAAAGGGTGACAGTGCGAGATGTGGGATGCACACGAGGTGCAAGAGTGTGTGTGTGTGTGTGTGTGTGTGTGTGTGTGTGTGCATGTGTGTGTTTGTGTGTATGTGTGCATGTGCATGCGTGTGTGTGCATGTGCATGCGTGTGTGTGTGTGTGTGTGTGTGTGTGTGTGTGTGCGCGCGCGCGCGTGGGTGCGCGCTAGCATCCTCATCTAGCAGGGGTCAAAGCGCCGCCCTCGCCCCCTCCGCCCACCTTTGAGCAGCCCAATGAGCTGCCCCGCCTCCCTCTGCTTGTCCTTCAAGCCGGCCGCCTTGGCGGACGCCGCCCAGCCCTTGGCGCGCGCAAACTCACACGCGAGCTGCTTCCTGGGGCGGGGGCGGCCGCATGCCAATGCCCAGGCGCATGCGGGCGGCGCGGCGCATGGGGATGAGGATGCGGCGTCGGCTGAGGCGCACGGGCACGGTCAGCGCGACCGTGGCCGAGTCTGTGCGGGCGCTGGGTGTGCAGATCAGCCGACAGCGGGATGACCACTGGATCCAGAGACCCGACACGGGGCAGCGCAAACCGCCGACACGCGACCTCAATAAGATCAGGTCAGATCGGATCACCTGCGGACCTCCTCTGGCAGGCTGCCGAACGCCCGCTCCGCGCGCCGCCGCTGCGAAATGAGCGCGGCGCACACCGGAAGGATTCTTGTCGGGCCGCGCCGCCGTTTATCGCCGTGGCGGCGCGACGATACATCGGGCGGGCAGCTGCGCAGCGGTAGATCTGACGCAAGCATGGCTGAGGCCCCGCCCCCGCCTCATTCTAGAGCGCTGCCAAAGGGTCGTGCCTCGCCCTCCCCTTGAATGATGCAGGCGCCCCAGGCCCTTTGTCTGCCAGCTTCCCGTCAGCTGCCCCCCCACCTCGATCTCCCTGGGGTCCCCCCACAGCTCCCAGTCCTCGATGACCGAGTCCTCGGAAGCTTCCCCGCAGCTGCCGTCGTCTGCCCCGCCGTCCTCCTCGCCCTCGGACGACCCGCCACCGTACTGCTGCAATATCCATGCTTTGGCCGCCGCTTTCTCGTCCGCGCCGCCCGGCCCCGTCGCGCTGCCGGCGCCGGGGCCGGCGCCCTCGTCGCTGGCGCCGCTGCCACTGTCAGAGGCGGTGCCGTCGGCGTCGCCGTCGGCGCCGCCGCCGCCCTCCGACGGACCCTCCTCAGGGCCGGGCGCGCCGCCGCCGCCGCCGCCGCTGCCAGACGTGCCTGGCGCCGCAACCGACAGCACCTGTCCACGGCCGGCAAGGGGGGCACGCGCGCCGACATGTGGGGCAGAGGCCAATCGGCCGACGCGCTCCGCCGCCGAGCGCTCACACGCCCGGAGCGCCCCCGCGCAAAGCCGGGCTTTGACGGCGGCCTCATGTGAATTCCCCATGAACAGCCTCCTCCCTTGAGCTGCCGGCTGGGCGTGAATTGTGTTGTGCATGTGTCGTGGGCACCACCTCGCCGCTGCCCCGCCCGCAATCGCCAGCCATTTGTATCCCCAGGCCTCCCACCTTGACGGCCGCCGCCCCCGCCGCGCCACCGCCGCCGCGCGCCGCGCCCGCGAAGCGCCGTGGCAGCTGCGACTGGGGAAGGTTCAGGCACAGCCAGTCGAGCGCCGGCGCCACCTCAGCGGCCGCGCCCAGCGGCAGCGCCCGCAGCGCTAATTGGACCTGGTCGTGACTAAAGCCGTAGTCCACCAGCCGCTCGTATGTGTCGGCGTACGCGCGCTGCAGCTGCTTGGCGGCTGCCGCGCCGCCGGGGGGCAGCTGCCCCTGCTGCTGCTGCTGGAGGGGCGCCTCCAGCTCCTGTGGCGGGACAGCATGAGCGGAATCATAGGATGCAGCCATGGGGCTCATGCGGCGAGATTCATGAGAGTTCCCGGGCGGCAGTGGGCGCGCCGGCCGCATGCGCCGCCACTGCAGGGACCGAACGCGGCCGAGCTGCGCATGCTCGCCGCGGCACAGCTGTTCAACTGCCCGAGTCCAGACCAAGCGGGGCGCTGCACGGAGCAGGAAGAGGGCGCGAACGCGAGTGATGTATCTAATTGCAGACCGTTTGCTGCCGCGCCTGACCTGCAAGATGCTCCGCACGCTGGCCTCGCTTGCAGCAGTCAGCTCGACTGCAGTGCGCCGCGCCTGCCCGCCCCCGGCCGCCGACGCGCCGCTGGACTTGCGCCCATCCTGCCGCTTGTGGTGGCCCTTTGGTGCCATTTGAGGCCGTTCAATCTATCCGAAGCGACGATGAAGGACGCTATTCATGATCGATCGCTTCGCAGTAAATTGAAACAAAGATCATACCGTATGCCATTTGATATGCTCATAGCAGCAGTGCTCTTTGAAACGGTAACACGTTCCAATCTTCCTGTTCTACGTCTACTGCTCTTGCGAGCGTTGGCTGCGGCATGCCGTCACCCGCACTCACCGCAGACCAGCTGCTGAAAGCTTAGCTGCATCCACGCCCTGGCTGCACTGCTGCAAGCTCCACTCATACCGTAATCCGTCAGCTGCGCTCATAGAATACATGCCAGGATCCCTTTTGATGTGGCACCTCTTGCCAGGGTCGCGTTTGCGTAACTGTGCCAAAATCCAGCAAGCAACAGCCACCCGGCAGTTGTGCACGCCCCCGGGCCCCTCTCCTCGTCTTGCACAACCAGATACCAGAGCTTGACATGTGTATGGTGTATGGGATTTCAATAACACGTACTTCACACAGGTAGCCCCATGCTGCAATAACAATATGGCGAGGGTTCAGCTTCCAAGGCTCTGGGGCTGAATGGAGTCGCCCGGGCGAGCAGGCGTGGCGTGTGTCAGTCAGAGAAAGCGGGATGCGGTGCCGACCCACGCGTGCTAGTTACGGTACAGGAATAGAAGGAAGCAACCTATGTGGCACAAAACGACGTCAGTGGCGGCGGGGACACAACTCACCCAACCGCGGGTTATTCACAGGCCGGCCCCCAGCTACCGGCCGCGGCGCTTGCAGCAGGAAGCGTATAAGCAGGGGTGGCAGGCGAGCCGCACAGATGCTCTTTATTATTCAGTGCGCCTGCGGCCACGCAGCGCGCCCAGGGGTAGCCAGAGCGCACGTGCGTGCAGGCGCAGGCGAGCGTCTTTTGACGTGCAGCTTGGCGAGTGTCTTGGTTCAATTCCGCAGGCCAAATATCCCTTTAAATATCCCTTTATAGTCAGTGATGCAAGTCGCCGGCGATGATGGATGACGACAAAGCAAGCGCTTTGAACACCCCCTTAGACGGATCGGTTTTATTGGCGTGGGGCGGGAAAGGGCCCGCAATCACTTGTCCCGCAGCGAACGAAAAGGCTGGGGTGGCCAGCGAGAGGCTGCCAAGTGGGGGAGGGGGGGGGGGCGTGCCGCCACGCTCATCAAGCCAGCAAGGGTTGCAAACCGCTGTGGATTGTGGCGGTGATGAGATTGGTGAACCGTGCGAGGCAGGGAAAGCACAGCAGTGCCGCCCTCGGCGCGGACGGCACAGCTCCAAAGAGTTTCCTAACGAAGAGCGGTGCAGCCCGTGGCACAGCGCGGGCGCGGAAGCCGGGCGGACGCAGGCCCAGCAAACGGCGCGCGGGTGGCCCGGCCGTGCGGCCTCGCGGCAGCACGTGCCTGCCCGGCGCAGCGGGCCCGCCGCGGCGGCAAAAAACCAACGCTCTCAAGTCAGAGGGTGTAGGCGTCGACGGCGTCGTACGTGCATTGCAATCCGAATTTGACTTTGTACTGTGGATATGCGGGCCGGACTCTCACAACCACGGGCGTCCCAGGCCCAGAGCAGGCTGCTGACGTCGCCACAGTGCCATTGATGATGTACTCCAGGGTGGCGGCGCCGTCGTCGCTCGAGCAGCTGCCGGGCAGCTGCATGACCTGCCCGGGGGCCTGGCAGGCCGGCTTGATGCAGGTGACTTTTGGCGCGTCTGGGCAGACGGCCTCTGTGCAATTTGGCGGCGGGATGTGGGTGGCGGGCGGGGAGAGGTTTGACAAGAAAATGTATGATACCAGGCAAGCGGTTGGTGCAGCGCGTCAGCAAGCAAGATTCCAAGGTTGCAGGGAAGGCTGCCTGGCCGCCGGTTTGTGGTAAGCACATGTTCACACTTCTCGCGATCTCGATGCCCAAAGACATCAAAGCGACATCAAACTCAGGAAAACCCCACATCGGACCCACCGTTGCTCGGAATAACTTTGAAGCTTGCAGTGTTGCGCAGCTTAACCACCGGCCCGACCACCGCGCACGCCGCCGGCACGCCCGCGGCGAGCACCAGCGACGGTGCGACCACCGTGGCGACGTCGTCGACAGGGCACGCCGCCGCGCCGACGGCGGCCGCGCCCACGGTGGCCGCGCTCACGGCGGCCGGGCCGGCCGCGTACGCGATCGCGGCCCCTGGGACGCTGCTTGTGCAGAGGCCTGAGAGGGGAACGCTCGCGCCGGCAGTCGAGCAGTCGAGTTGGGCCGGGCAGGACCATTTGACGTCCGCCGGCGCGTAGGCACACTGGCTGGCGCCCTGGAACGCCCAGGCTGCAGACAGGCGGGCGAGCGCGCTGCCTCCTGTCTCCTTGTTTTTGGTGCAGCTGGAGGGCTTGAGGGTGCAGAGGCCGCCCACCGCGCTGTCTGGCGCGAGCGCCTGCCTTAGGCACGACGGCGCCCTGCCCGGCCGCAAGGTTTTAGGCCTCAGCGCGAGCAGCTCCCGCCGCAGCCGCCGCAGGCCAGGGACAGCAGCTGTGGGCGCGGCGGCGGCGGCAGCTGGGGCGCCACAGCGCTTGAGCGTGCCGCTGCGGGTGACCATCGTCAGCGCGGCGACGCAGCGCCCGCTGCCCCATTTTTTGGTCTCGACGGTGACGTTTGAGATCAGCTCGCCGTCCAAGGTCACCCGCGCGCCGCCGGCAGCCGCGTCGCAGGCGCCGCCGGCGCCGTCGCACGACGCGGCGAGCGGCGCGGCGCCCGCGGCCGAGTACCGAAGGGTGAGGCCTGTGAGGCAGCCGTCAGCGTTGAGGCAGCAGTCGACTGCGGCTACGGCCCCGCCGGCGCAGCCATTGCTTTTCGCGCAGGCGCCCCTGCGGGCATCGCGTATTTGTGGGAGTGCGTCCGTGGTGAGGGCGGGCGCGTCGCACGGCGAGAGCGTGCCCTGTTGCTGCGGTGCAGGATGCCAGCGGCACGAGCCTCCAGGCCGCTTGATGCGCATTTCAGGGACATGCAATAATTTATGTGCAGAATGCTCGCCCCTGTTTTATCGTATGACTTGAGGGAAGGGGGTTAGCACGTTGTTCACGCCGAGAGCAGCGGGGTGCGCGCGGCATCGCGCCACAGCCGGATGCGGCGCGCTTTACTTGACCCCGGTCGCGCTACAGACAAGATTTATACTCTCACTGTGTCTGAGCTGGAAACGAGCAGCCCGAGAAGACCATCGCGAGCACTGTCAACCAGCGCGCCGGCCGCGCCAGGGCCCTGTGATGACCACGCATGGCTCAGAAACTTCTAGCTAGCAGTATATCTGCGACTTGATTTGTATCAAGACTCTGTTTTGCTGGTGCATTGGTGCCCTGGACAGATCGCAGCGTCGCGCGGACTGATGAAGGATGTGTGGCTCGCAAAATGTATTCCAAAACAATTTTTTTCAGTGGCGATCATGATAATGGGCGAAGGCACAGGCTTCAGAACTGCGTTCAGGGGAGGGTCAAATTTGACGAGGTGACTGAGAACCACGGCCACCGAGAACGAGCTGTCGCACCGTTGTCACGGGTTTGTCGTCATGAACGGGCTGACAAACATATGCGCCTTTTTTGGGTCCCAACGGGACCCAGCCCCGGGCTCCACCGGCTGTCATACATTCTTTGCTTGCAGTGAAGCTCCAGACGAGCGTGACGCATGTGACCGCACCGCCGGCAAGTCGCTTTCACGGTGGCGATGGGGAGAGTGCCCCCATGGAAAAGCTGCCGTTAGTCAATACAAACATCGTTGTACAACAGGGTCCCTTTCAGTCGGGGGTCCTGCACAACGTGCAGCGTGCCCGGAGGGCCATCTGACACACTGAGCGCGCAGACTTCTGACCTAAGAGCGATTTGCATGCGCACGAATGGATAGGTGACACATGGTCACATTGCATTGCTGCCAGCTACGACACGTCAGCGCTCCTCTGACAGCTCTGATCCCCTGCAACCCTCGGCGATTGGCAGATACTGCAACGCTGGATGCGCGTCGTTCAGCGTCAAGATGCTGCTGCTGCTGCTGCTGCTGCTGCTGCTGCTGCTGCTGCTGCGTGCTGCTGCTGCTGCTGCGTGCTGCTACTGCGGTTGCTGCTGTTGCTGCTGCTGCTGCCGCTGAGATAATCAACCACTCACCCCTGCGACAGAGTATCCAGGGAGTTACAGAAGCAGGAATTGGCAATTCAGGTTCTTAGCACTGCACCATGACAACCGCCAAGACTCAAACACTTTGTCCACGCGGGAGGCCCGGGCGGCGTATGCGTTTCCGTCCAGTTTGAAAATGGTAGGTGCGCGGACGACATCCAGCATCGAGCACTCGCTGAAGAGCTGCTCAAACACAACGGGCGGAAAGGTGGAGGCCACAGCCGCGCAAGCGTGTCCGCCTATGATGCAACAGGGCTTGGCTCTGCAATGTGTATTGGGTGCCAGGCCAGTGTGTGTGTGTGCGCGCGCGTGTGTTTGTGTGTGTGTGTGTGTGTCTGTGTGTGTGTGTGTGTGTGTGTGTGTGTGTGTGTGTGTGTGTGTGTGTTTTGCAAGCTGCTGGTGCAGGGCAGCCGCATACCGTATTTACCACCCAAAGAATGCAGGCAGCGCAGCGCACCTTCAAAAAGGTGTCTGCCGCCTGATGTCAAGCCAATGCAATATCCAGGAGGGTGCCTGTCATTGTGACGAGGTGATTGTGGTATGGGGGTGATGGCCCCTATTGCAAGGCACTCACAGGGGACATATACACAACACTCATCGTTCACTTATTCATCCGACGGTGCACACTCTTTCAGGTGCACGGCGCGAAACAGAGCGGCAATCGGATTGCGACAGCCGCCTGGTGGCGCCTGCAAACACATGAAGCGCCATAACTTCGTTTCAGGCCAAAAAACGGATGCGCGCAAGACTGTCCAGGCGATCCCCACCTCTAGAACAAGCCGAAGTTATACAGGTCCTGCCACCACGCAACACGCCGCCACCGCATGCCTGCCCGCTGAAGCGCTGGCCGCCATCTACACCGCTGCGACCCGTGCTGGCCGTGGCGTCTGCGCCGCGAGGACCGCTGTGCATGGCTTGGACCGTCGTGGCAACCTGGGACAGCAGTGACGTCACTCTGACGTCACCCCTCGCAGGCATCCCCCGTCAGGTACCCGGGCACCCGCTCGTCGTCCCGCCCCTCCAGCCACCCCGCTGGCAGCGACACGCGCTGCGCCGCCGGCCGCCCGTCCGCGCCGCCGCCCTTCAGCCGCGGCAGGCGCAGCGCGGACGCCGGGAACGGCGCGGCGTCCGCCCCATGCTCCCCGACCACCGCCTCCCAATCCGCAAGGCTGCGGGCGGCGTAGAGGCGCCCGGCGAGATCCTGGCGCTCGAAGCCCGCCAGGTAGCACCCGATCAGCTTCCGCATCTGCAGGACGGCCGAGCGCTCGTCGCCCTCCCAGGACGCGAGGTCTGCCGTGTGGCGGAGAGCCGCCTGCAGGGCGCGTGCCGTGGCAGGCGGAGCAGGCGGCCGGGGCGGGGTGGGGCGGAACGGGGTGGTGCAAGTTGTACGGACAGAGCGATGATGGGTGGGGCCACAAGGATGGGTTCGATTACCCCAGGCCAGGTTGATGCAGCAACCTCCAGGCCAAGTTGTCTGAACATGCACGACTGGGGCCTGTGCAAACGCCCTCATGTAACAGGGGCGTCTCCAGTTCACTGCAGGGGCACGCACGGGCTCCTGAGGCAGTTGCTCTGTGACCTTTTTGGCTGAGCCCTCCTCACATTGCACGACCCCCGCCACTGCGCCCCCCCCCCCAAACAGACACACACTTGTCCGCACAGGCAACGCCGCATCTGCACCGGCCCGCGCTCCCAATTGTCACTCCTGCTCTCACACCTGCAGCACCCCGCCCAGGTTTGGTGGCGGCGGCGGCGGCCAGCGTGCCGTGTCGCCCGAGAGCGCAGCCGCTGCTTCAGAGAAGAGCCAGGGGCGGCCAAGGCAGCCACGGCCAATCATCACGCCGGCACAGCCTGTTTGGGGTTGTGGAAGGATGGGCGTATGCGTATGCAGCTCCTCGCGCATGCAGTCGGCTGATTTGAACGGGGAAAAGTCGAGGTTGTTCGCCTTGTGGCCGATTGGCTCACAGGAGCAGGTTGCACCACAGCATCACTTCGAGCCGGCGGCAAGCCGTTTGCAAACTACCCTTCAACTGAGCGTATAGCCACTGCCAGATGAGCCCCGCCTCATTCACACGCATGCAAGCTTGCAGGTTCATACAATCGCACGTGCGCGCGCGCGCGCGCACACACACACACACACACACACACACACACACACACACCGCCCCCACCTCACCCGTCTCTCGTATCATCCGTATCGCGTCCGCGCCCTCGAACACGTCCCCATTGCCAATCACAGGGATCCTCAGCTCCGCGGCAAGCTGCCGTATCGCCTCCCAGTCCGCCGGCGGCGAGTACAGCTGCTCGGCAGTCCGCGCGTGCAGCGTGACACCGGCGGCGCCCTCCTCTTCGGCTATCTGCCCGGCCTGCAGCATAGCAGGGTGTGCGCGTTGAGGGCGCCGGCTGGTGCCATGCGACAGCCGGCTGCCCCCCTCTCAGGGCTCTGCCTCAAAAGCTGCTGTTATCTGCTGCTGCGCCCTCTCTCAGCCGGCCGCGACCCACCCAGCCGCACATAAGTTCATGAGGAGTGTCTTATGTGCTGGGAAGCCATACAATGCGAAAACATCTGTCTTGCGCCTGTCTCCCCACCCACCTCAAGAAAGTACGTCATCTCCTCAGGCCGCCGCGCCAGGCCAATCCGCAGCTTGACAGTCAGCGCCGCCGCACCCCCCACGCCGGAAGCGGCCGCGGCCACGAGCCGGCGGAACAGCCGGGGACGCAGCGGGAGCGCCGCGCCGCCGCCGCGAGAAGTCACCTTCTTGACCTGTTGGGCGATCGGTAAATTGATGACAAGGGACCACGAGAGCGGCGCTGTGTGCTCAGCTGCAACAGCCTCAGCAAAGGCTGCAACCGGTGCAGCTGACAGCTTGGAACGCATGCAATGGTGCAGATTCGCGGCATGCGTGCGTTGCACCCAGACAGCCACATGCACCGACACAACACTCGCATGACGGCAGGGAGCACACTGCCGTCTCGATCACCCACCGGGCAGCCAAAGTTCAGGTCAACGTGCTGCACGCCGCATTCGTTGACCAAGATCTGAGCGGCGCGCCGCGCCGCATCGGGGTCGACTGCGTACAGCTGCGCTGATTTGACCGCCTCGTCTGCGTGCCACCTCGCCAGGTGTCGCGTGCGCGCATTGCCCGCGACAAGCTCATGGGCTAGTATCATCTCCGACACGCACACCGCGGCGCCCGCCTCGGCGCACATGCGACGCAGCGGGGCCGACGTGAGGCCGGCCATGGGCGCGAGGAGGAGGGGGACTGGCAGCGGCGGCAGCGGGCCAAGCGAGAGGGGCGGGACCTCGCCGGGGGCGGCGGGGGGGACGGCTGCGTTGAGAGGAGACACAAGGTATTCTGATGCTGGGGCCGCTGGCGGCATGATGGCGGCGCTGAGGGCTCCAGCCGCACATGGGCGAGCGGCGACCGGGCAGGGTTGCGCCAGCAACGGCCTCCTCGGCAGATTCAAGCTCGCTGTGCTGCCATGCATGATGTGCGAAAAACGCGGATGACGCTTGCGCGTCTCAGCACAGCTGCGGCGGCCTGGTGCTCTGGATTGTACGTAGACTGGTCCTGAAGAAGCGCTGCTGCCATTCAACGAATGTGCGAGGCAGGCATTGTGACGCTGTGTCTGTGCTGCTGGCAACGCCAGGGCAGCAGCTGCAGCGGCGGCAGCGTGCAGAGCGGCTCAGGCCAGCCAATGCTGCAGAGTGAGTGCGGTGTGGCCACTGTACAAGATCTTATGACACACTTGCGCTGAAAATACGAGGCTCCTACAGCCTGGTACTGCAATACAGTTGTGCAAGTCGCACAATGATCTTCGCGGCAGGCTCAACGCAGGTGGTGTATTCGACAAATGAAAGCAACAAGGTTGCATTGAAAATTATTGCCGGTGCTGCAGGTTCAATGACAGATGCTCTACAGCTTCACAATCACAAGCTGGGTGAAACCTCGTGCGCCCCACCCCCCCTTTCAAGCCCCATGCTGGTGTGCTCATTGCTGGTCCCCGCCTTGCAGCCGCCGTGGTGCTAAGTCTAACAGGGGCTGTGATGAGCAGAATTTACACCACCCTCCAGCAGTTTTCGCGTCCAGGAAGTGTATGCGGCATGTGTGCCAGATGCAAGCCCTGGCATGCTTGGATGTTGGTCGCTCGTGCTTGGACCACACACTGTCTCACACCAGCTGTGTGGATGAACAATGTTGCCAGTTGGGCGTGTGTATTTACAGGCCGGCCGGGACGGCTGGCAGTGGGCACCCAGCCGCCGAACCGCATGCACAGGGAGCCTTCATCTTGGCGCACGGACGCCGCGAGAAGGCCTCAGCTCTGCCGCCGCCGAGTGACGATTGAAACACCAACCATGTCAGTTGCAGCCAAATGTCAGAAAATGGACCAATGTTGCAAGAACCGCCCCCCCCCAAATAAAACCATCATACTCCTGGGCCGTGCACCCACGCAGATAAACAATATGTTTGTAGTGCAGATGCTGTCCAAGGAATATACATGCGCTTTATTACGCGACCAAGGTTGGTCTCTGGGCATCGTCCTGGGATGTGTGAAATGCTGCCACAAGTGGGGGAGGTGCTTGCTGCCAAGCCGCACACAAATAAACAGCCCCGACGGTGGCTCCGACATGATATCTTTGAAACGCCCCCCCTTCCTATTTGCGCCTGTCAGCTGTCCTGGCCTGCCTCCACTGGTCACCAAAGACATTGTATGCGGCTACCGCCGCCACGTAGCAGCCCAGCGCCCCGGCAAGCACGAGCCAGGGCCCATGGCCGCCGTGCAGGAGCGCCGAAGCAGGCGCGTGCGCGTGGTCCGTCTGCTCGATAGCCACGCGCCCTGGCAGCTGCGCCTGCCGGACCGAAAAGGTCGGGTCGGCGAAGAACGAGGGGTCCTCCAGCGACAGCACGATCGAGCCGCCCGCGCCGGCGCCTGGGCCGGCCAGCTGCCGCTGCTGGCCGGGGGCATCTGCGCCCTGGTCGTTCGCCGTGTGCACGGCAAACGACCCGTCGCCAGCGTCGATGCCGCCAGGGCCGCCTTGCTCCGCTAGCTCGACCGCGATCTCCTTTTCGGTGTTTTTATGTGAGTGCAGCAGGTCCCCGTACCGCTTTTCGAAAGCGGGGTTTGGTTTCCTCGGAAGCAGCGAAAAGTCCCCCGCTAGGAGCCCCTTGATGACGGCGCCGCTGATCAACACGTGGGCCGCGCCGGCTGCCAGGCAGCCGGACGGGCTGCCGCTGTGCAGGCGGCACGCGAGGGTGGCGGTCCGCACGTTGTTCTTGCTAAGGATTGCCAGGAGAGGCAGGGAATTCGAGCCCGTGGTAATCCTTTTGTACGCCTGTTATCGAAGCAAAGGAAGGGATAAGGGGTTGACACGGGAGCGTTGGCGCAGTGGCAGCGTACAAGACAACTTGGTTGCTGGCAGGTGGAGCTGGCGGCTGTGCCGAAGGGAGGGGAAGCGCGAGGAGGAGAGTTGGGGTCCAGCAACGCATCTCATCACAATGCGGCCAAATGCAGGCTAGGCCTCGCCAGCCCCGGCTGCCACGTCTACAGGATGACCAACTCGCGTTGTTGATGGATCAGTCGCAGCCAACGAGATGCGCTGCATGCGCATGAGCGGCGCGCATGGCACCCGCGACGCGGCCCCCATGGATGGGACTTGGTCGGCACGCAGCCGACGCCGGCCCGCACCTTCGCGTTCGGGCAGTCGCCCCAAATGTCCGGCCTGAGCTGGCGCAGGTGAACCAGGAAATCTGCACGCTGTAAAACAGACATGGCCAGCAGAAGGTACATTGTAACTACCCATGTTGTGGTAGCGGCGGATCAGCAGGCCAAGGTGCTCGAGACCCACAGTCCACCCGCCCCGCGATGCCTGGGACCGTGTGCGCCATGGCGGGCCTCGCGCACCGCTCCGCCATCAGCACAGCCCCTCCCCCACACCCGCAGCCCCGCGTTGTCGCTGATCAGGCGCAGGCACCCTCTCAAGGGGCGGCCCGGGTGGCGGACCACGGCTGCGCTGCTGCGCCCTTCGGCTGCGCACCTTGTCGGGGTGCTTGCGGGCGACGTCCCTGTGCAGACACGCGCCCCTCCCTTTCGGGTCCGCCTTGAGCCCCAGCTCGAACGACGAGACCCACTGGCACTGCCCCGCCGCCAGCTCGCTGCACTTGGCCGCGCGGCGCGCCTGAGGTCCCGAGCGGCAAGGCGCATGGTTGGTGGCTATTATGCACAGCATCACAAAAGATGTGCTTGGGTTGCAATCGGGGCCTTGTGCGGGACCTGCCCGCAAAATCTGGGTGGGCAGGGCGCCATCCCCACTGCCAAGAGCCTGCGTGCGACATGCATCTGTGCTTGCATGCAGCAACTTGAGGGTGAACGCATGTCGCGGATGGAGTTGAGCCTGCGTGGTGCATGTCAGAGCTGCGTGCGCCCAGGCGGACGGAGTGGAGCGTGCCCGTGGCGCCTCGCCCACTTGCCTTGGCACAGGGCACATGCTTTGCAGCCATGGATCCTGGGCAGGCCGCCATTAGGGCGGCGCCTTGAAGCATGGCGCCCTTCGCGAGCCTGCATGGAGGCACCTGCGGGCGCGCGCAAGAGGGCCACCCGGCGCGTCGCTTAGACGGGCGACAAGATAGGATTCATAGCGCCATAGGCGGCGCGGCACATGGCCGAAGCCACAGCGCCCGTCACCAGCGCTGCTGTGGTGGGGGGCCCCATTCACGCGCGCCACCAGCCGCCGCTGTCGCTGTTGCGAACCCACCGAGGCCTTCGACCAAGTACACCCCGGCCTGTTGTCCTTGCTGAGGCAGTCCGTCTCGCTTTCCAACAGGCTGCACGCCGCGTCGGCACCGACAGATTTCAGCAGGGAAGCGGCGAGTGTGTCCCTGGGCTTCGGTGCGGTCAATGCTGCCACGACGAGCACTGGGTGCGCATCGCACTTTCGTGTCCAATCATCCCAGGCGCACTTAAATCAGGTGGAGGTGCAGGGGCGAGGGGGGGGGGGACGTGGGACAAGGATGTCCTGCCGACCAAGCAGGCGCCTGACCCATCAACACAGGATGGCTGACGCGCACCTGCCGCGTGCCCAACGCCAAGGACCGACCGCGCAACGTGCGACGTCGCCATCCAGCCCGCATATTGTTAGCAAATCACCTCACCTGGCTCCCGATGACCTGTCCGGACAGCTTTGACACGTACTGTGCCGGTGGGATGACGGGGCGGAGTGTGTGCAGCCCACCTGAGGCTTGCTCACTACTTTGAACTAGTGTCAATGCTGCGATTAGAGACAGAACACCCAGCGTGTGAAGCGAGATCATATCGCTTCGTCGGGCGCGTGCTACGACGGTGTACCATGAGTGAATTATGCAATAATCAGAAGCGGAGCGAAAAGAACAACCTCGGAAGACGAGGAAGGCGGAGCTCTCCATCAATGTTGGCGTTCTCGGCTCACTCAACTCCATCTGTTGCTGCAGCCACCCTGCAACCAGCACGAGCAGCACAACAAGACATACTGAGATTTTGCAGATGGCACAGCGGTTGCTGGTGGCAACACTCAAGTCATGAAACAAGTAGCGCTTGGATACAAACAAGCAGAAGAAAGGCTCTGAAAGCTCCTGCGAGCATGCCCGCAGCTGGTCACCAACAACTCACCACCCAGCTGGTTGGAAAGCTTGACGTGTGGTGCATGCAGTTACCACGTGTGCAACGATCAAACAACACATAGCCAGGATGACTGAAGGGCGGCAGGGCCGAGCTGATGTTTCTTTGCCCAACGAGAGGAGAGGCAAAAGCCTCACCCTGTGAACACTGTCACCCACGCAGGTGGTTGTCATGTGGTTGCAGCGTGCAACGCTGTTGACGGGTGCACCCCTGTGACGTGTGCGACAGGCCAACCTAGCAGCCGCCAAGGCACGCGAAGTAGCTTGCTGCGGAGGCACAATCGCAGCTGTTCACTTGCAAGTGAGTCTACTTGTGGGTCGGGGCGACGGCTGGGGTGGGTGCTTCTACGCATGCACGCCTGTGTGATGCCAGTGCATTTGTCTTAGGCCAGGGTCCAGACGCAGCCGATTTGAAACAGCGTACTTCCCTGGCTGTGCTGCATGCGGGCGCCTCTGCTAGTCTGCCTGCACCTTGCCACTGGCCGCCTGCGCGCGAGGGCGGGCGCAACGGGCTCGAAATCACCCTACGACACGGTAGCATACTATCCGAGGGCCGCACGCCATAATGTAACGCATATAAACCTGAGGATTTGCACTCATGACCAGAAGGGCCAGCAGACCCTCAGGATCGCGCATACAGAGATACAGTACGAATTGCAGATCATTGCGTTGATGGGCCGGGGGGCCGTGGATACACATTTGTGGCAGCATTTGAACGTGCATATGTCATGAAGCTCACACCACGGCCTCTTTATACCTTCACATGGAATACGGTCGTTCAACTGTGGATGTGAGCAGCTGTCCATCCACCCGCGGCTGCAGTGTCTAAAAGCGGATGGCGGAGGGCGACGATGTGGCAGAAAATCACGTGCTCTTGGTGAGATGCAGGCTCGTCGGTGCAGCGCTGCGCAGTTGACTGATGAAAGCGCTGTGCTGGCTGTTTGATGCATGCAGACGAGTCGCTTCGGCGGGGTGAACCAACATGCCAATTGCGCTCATGTTATGCATGTAGGCACAGGATCATTCCTCCTCAGGTCGGGATGATCCCCCCGCGCCCGAGCCCGACTCGCGCCGCGGCCTGCTCGCCTGGGCGCGCCAAGGGCGCTCGGGCAGATGGGGTGCACATGCTCCAGTGGCGGCGGCGGCGGCGCTCGGGAGCTTCACTGGTCGCGGTGACAGCGCTTCTGCAGCCAGCTTTGCAGAGGAGGACCTTCAGCGGCTCGCGCTGCGCACGCAGGGCCGCATAACAACCAGCAGCGGCGG